TTTGTATAATTCTCACCACCTTGTAAGATAAGAATCCAAGAAGATGAAAACTTATGTAAAAAGACAAAGTCACCATGGGTGTTATATAGCTATTAATATTAGTGCTGAGATTCTGTCTTACTTTAAAACTATGCCTTTTCTATTGTTCTACAGAGTAACACAATTCAGGCGGAATATCTTTAGGAGTCCATTTCAAACGACGACGAAAATTTCCTTTCACCCACTACCACCTCTGATCTAGCTCTACTCTTCCTTTGACCAAATTTATTGCCACAGGGCTACTGAAGCAGCCAAGAGCTTTTTAAATATTGGGGGATGAAAGGTTTCACTTGGTGCTAAGTGTTGGGACAGTTTGCTGTTTGTTCAGCTGAGCAGCAGATAAAGTATGTGTTTTGCATTTATGGAAATTACTCTCTAAACAGGAGGAGGATGCAGCAGGTCCTTATGTTCATGTGATGAGCCCCATGGGAAGGGAGCATGACAAAGTAGGTGATTCACTCCCTCCGTCTCTCCTCAATTTTGGCACAGCCACTGTCTGTGTATTGCCTGTATCCCCCCAGCGCTCACATTTCCTACTTGCAAGGATCATTTTTTTTCTACAAACACCTGTGACTCACAGCCTGAGGGCCTCCTCTGATGGCAGGAGCAAGCTCAGTGTGTGCTGGGGTAGGCTAGAAGTGCCAGGGAGTTCATGCCCTCAGGGGCAAGCCTCTACCAATTATGCACAGTTCTTGGAAAACAGATACTCCAACTTCCTCCACTCCTTTGAATGGGACACTTTGAAAATTTTTTTTTTATATATATACAGTCTCCCGGAGAATTCCAACAGGATTCAGCCCCCCTGCCCTCACAGCAATCTTCTGCAGCTTAATGCATTCTAATATATGAGTTTCCTTTTCTTCATCTCCCTTTCCTATCACCATACCAAAGCTTCTTGGGATCACTTTCCTCTAATCCTTGTCTCAGGGTCTGCTTAGTGGGAACCTACCCTAAGTCACAGAATGGCAGAAATTCCCACACCTTTAAATATGTTTTTCTCTCTTACATTTGCTTTAAATTTGTAATCATGTATGTTGAATATGCATACAAGGAGACTCTGTTGTTTACACAGAGTCTTGTTTTCCTGGAGGCAAGTTGTGCTTTCCTTCTGTCATTTCTGTTTCTTTCCAGGTACACTCGGGGACGCATTTACACAGCCTGCATATATTGGGCAATTTCCCCTCTCCTTTGGCTCTTCAGTGCCTCTTTGTGCCAATCACCTCTTTGGGTTCAACTGATCCCAGGGAGCTATTTCAAATCGTTTGAAAAGTTTCCAGCGGGAGGTTGTGTGCTTTCTCCTTCCTCTTATTATGCTATGGCTAAATGGATATAACAGAGCAACAGATTTGGACCGATTGTCCCTGAGCATTCATAATCAAAGCAGATGGGCAGTGGTGGGCAGCAGAGAGAATCGATGTGGCATCTGTCTAAAGGAAAAGTAATGACTTGACATGGTTGAGTTCCACCTTTTTGGAGAGGTGGCAGGAGTGAGGAGGTGGGAGCTGTTCTTCTTAGAATATAAAGGGGAGTGGAGTAACTGCCAGGAAGCACTGGGGATGTGTGCCAGTGTTTCATACAGTAAGTGATCCTGTGAGGCGGATGTGGTGACAGTGACTCCTCTGCAGAGAGAGCTAGAGTGTTTATAATTCCTTTTGGACAAAAATAACTAAACACCAGCCATGACTGCTAATAGTTCAGGGCTGTATGTGTGTGTGTGTGTGTCTGTGTGTGTGTGTGTGTCTGTGTGCATGTGCGCGCACATGTGTTTGAGAGAGGAGAGAGAGGGAAAGAGGGAGAGAGATGAGAGGGAGAGAGAGTTTTTTGATTATCTTGGAGGCTGCTGCGCGTCTTTCCTCCTTGGTAAATGAACAGCATGTTCACATCTTAACCCCCAGAAAGAACTTATGGATATTCCTTTATGTGGTAAAAGGACCTTTTTGTAGATAGGCAAAGGATTTTGAGATGGGACATTATTTTGGAGAAGCCTGGTAAACATTCAGTCGAACAAAAATGTCTGTATAAGAGGGAGGCAGACAGAGTTCTCACCGTAGAAGAGGAGGAGGCAATGTGGTCCTAGAGACTGGAGCAATATGATCATAAGGCAAGTAGTGCCAGCAGCCACTAGAAGCTGGAAGAGACAGAGAACACGTTCTCCCTAAAGCCTCCGGAGGATCCCATTCTGCTGATCCCTTGATTTTAGCCTCCCAAGTCTCATTTGAAACTTTTAAGTGAAGAATTGTAACTGAATAAATATATGTTGTTCAAAACCATTAAATTTGTTAGTAGAAATAGGAAACCAAAAAAGAATCCCCAAATGGCTGCACCCGCTTGAATTCCACCAGATCACTGATAAACTATCATATGAACTGTGCAGGGATTATTTTTTTTCCTTGCTTCTCAGTTTTGACTTGTTTCTCCTTATCATTGCTGAAGGTTTATGGCAGATATTTATAGCTACTGCTTAGCACAATGGAAAGTTGCATTGATTGGACAGTTAATGAAGACTAGAAGCTGATGATTTTGCCTGAAAGGGAAAGTGCTCTGGGAAAGAGGGCCCATTTCTGTTCCATGTAAAGTGGTGATGGGCAGCTTACTGGGTCCTGGCACTTGGACTAAGGGTGCCCAAAATGACCATGTGGAAAAGCAAATCCAACTCAGAGACTCTCCAGTCTTAGGAATCTTGCTAAAGATATGATTAAAAGGACCTCTGCTGTCAGTCTTGCTGGCAATTATTAGAGTTCTATCCATGAAGATCAAGGTCCATTTGGTGAATTCTGTATGAAGCCATATTTCACTGCATGGGCAAGGAGGTTAGGAGGGTGGATGAAAATTTTGAATGTATTCTGCTTTGTTTGCAGTCCTCAATTTCCCTGAACTCTTCTTTTAAGCATAATAATAGCCTGGGTATGCTAAAGGATTTACTATATGCCCAGAACCATATATATTTTCTAAATTAATACCACAGACCTACAAGAGGATTATAATTGGGCCCTGTTTCATAGATGAGACTTGATCAGGTTAGGCACACTGTCTAGATTATAGGGCCAGAAAGCTGTAGAGCTGGGATTCAAACCTGAATCTGTTGTACACAGCAGTCTGATCCTAACCGATGGGCCACACTACCTCTTCTGGTTCAAGCATCCTGAATTGACTGAGGGCTCTTGCTTGCAGTCTTCTCCTTCTCATTTCCTAGATACCACTCTTCTATCAACCCTGGGGAACATCTCAGGTGGAAGGATTACAGGGCACAAGTTTGTGCTCATCCAAACCACCTCAATATTTTCCTCCATCCACTTCATGCATGAAGTATTTATCTGATATAAAGAGTCTTATGCAAGAAGAATAAGGAAATATTTTATTTCAGTTTGTCCTCAGTACAGCTATGAATGACAACCAACACTGCTGAAACCACCTCCACCAAAATAACCAAAGATGTGCGTGACATGTGGTATCTAAATTTTTTTTGTGTGTGAAACTCATTCACATATTTCTT